GGACTCGATCCCGGGACTCCAGGATCATGACCTGAGCCGAAGGCAGTCGCTTAACCAACTGAGCCACCCAGGCGCCCAACATTATTACACAAAAGTCTTAAGAGCCCCAGCGGTCCCTGCATCATACTCTGATAACTTCTACTCTAAAAAATCCATGCCACCTGTTGTTGGCAACAGATTTCCAAGAGGCCTGGGGTATGGAGCTACCACCCTGGCTCCTCACTCACTTGCTGGTCTCTCCAGAAGCCAGGGGAGAGGAAAGAGAGCAGCAAGGATTCCCTTGCTTTCTTAAAAGTAACTATATACAATAGAATATTATGCAGCCATCCAAAAAATAAATCTTGCCATTTGCAAGGAGGTGGATGGAACTAGAGGGTATTATGCTAAGCAAAATAAGTCAATCAGAGAAAGACAATTATATGATCTCACTGGTGTGAGGAATTTGAGAAACAAGACAGAGGATCTTAGGGGAAGGGAGGGAAAAATGAAACAAGACGAAACTAGAGAGAGAGACAAGCAATGAGAGACTTAATCTCGGGAAATAAACTGAGGGTTGCTGGAGTGGAGAGGGGTGGGAGGAATGGGGGTGGCTGGGTGATGGACATTGGGGAGGGTATGTGCTATGGTGAGCGCTGTGAATTGTGTAAGACTGATGAATCACAGACCTGTACCTCTGAAACAAGTAATACATTATATGTTAATTTTAAAAACAGTAACTATTCAAATGCTTGCGTTTTAAGTCATTGGGATAATAGATTAGTGTGCTTAAAAAAGGGAAGAAGGCGTTGACCTTTTATTACCCAGTGACCTGGGTGTGGTGTTGGGGATGGTATGAAGTGGAGACCCTGAGAGGCTGCTCCCGCGGTGACCAGGATGACCGGAGGGGGACTGCTTTGCGAATCCACGAATCCACGTGCACTGCCTTTGTTTTAGTGATGAATTTCTGGCTTAGGCGAGGCCTAAGGGGCAGTAGTCCTAAAGGCCAGAGGAAAGCAGAGGTTGGGAGGTGTCCCTTGAAGGATGTTCTGTTCCTAAGTTTCCCTAAGATGACTGTGCCTTTTAAAAGAGTCCTTGAATTGACATGCTCTCTTCCTCTGAGAGGCCACAGACGGTATCTCCGGCGAGCGAGGATGCCCCAGAAGATCTGCAGAAGACAGCTGGTGCGTTGGAGGCGCAGGCCTTGGTGGAACAGGAATTGCTGCCTGCAGACCAGGTCCAGGTCCTCAACAAGGTAGGGAGGACATTGGCGCCGTCTCTTCGGGAGGAGCAGTTGGTAGTACCAGAGTTTAGATGCATATGGATGGCTTGGAACTAGAAAGCACTGGGGCATCTAAGTTTTAATTATTTGGAGAATGGTCCTTTGTATGTATCACCCTCAGGGCCCATCACTGAACTGGCAACTCTTCCAAAAAATGAAATGTTGGAATGAATGCTCACGTGGTGTCTAAAATCCTCTGGATGTCAGGGGCCTTGATCCATGGGATTGTGTTTTAGCTTCAGTTTTCTTGTGGTGTATCTATTCAGCATTTACGATCAAGTTTCCTTAGAAGTGGTATAGATAGGTAGCAGCCTCCCTGCCATGGAGGATGGGTTGTTTGTATCATTATTAACACATCTATTATAATAACAAATGGTATTAGTGCCAATAAAGACAGTGTCAACATTATAATTACATTTGCATAATGCTTTGTAGTTGACAAAGCATTTTTATCCACAATACTTCATTTACTCCTGAGAACACACCTGTGAGGCAGGTACCATTATGTTCCCATTTTACAGATGAGGAACCTGAAGGGAAGACCTATCAGTGACTTTACTAATGCTGCGCTGCTAATATGTTGCAAACTAAATCCTTTGTTTAGCCTTCTGGAAAAGGAAAGACTCCCTTAAGTGGGTTAGCCAAAGTCTCATTTACCTCATTAAGCAATGCAGGTAAAGGACTTACTCTCCAGAAAGAGATATTATGAGAATATAGCCTGGGAGTAATTCAAAATTTCTTTCTTTCTTTCTCGTAAATCTCACTGGTGTGCTGTCCCATGTGGGCAGTGGGTATACATGTCATGAGTTGCCTGCCGACTGCTTGGAGAAGGAGCAGGAAATTATGGCATAAAAGCAAGAAACAGGAACACTGATCCTAGTGGCCTGACATGAAATGCACAAGAGAGAGATTGAAGCCTCCCGCTACGGGCTAGCGAAGGCTTTGAGTTTCAAGTGATGCTTGTATTCTCCATGCAGGTTAGATGTCTGGCAGCAAATATACTGTTAAATACATCGAAACAGGTGAAATGGCGATTATATACAGAACACTGTTAGGGGATGTGACAGCCGGTGGCATGGGACAGCCCGGGTGTGCCACGGAAGAGCCAGAGACAGGGAGAATATAAGACAGAGCCTCTGTCTTCAGTGCTCTGGTGACTCGGTGGACAGGGCTCAGGAGGTACCCTGTGAGTGGGAATTGTAGCAGGAGGCTGTGTGGCAGAAGGGGAGTCAGGCTAAACCCTGGAGACAACGTGCTGCCACGAGAGGGGCCACCGGAAGGTGCTGTGCCGCCTGAGGCCAGATCAAGGCGCGGCAGAAGCGCTGTTGGTGCAGAAGTCAGTAGCGAGCATGGAGGGTGTTCACGGACAAAGATTTTATGAAGGGTCTGGAGTGGGAGAGTGGCAAAAGGGAGGAGGGCACGTGGCTGGCAGGCTTCGAGCTGGGAGGGTGGAGGCAATAGGGCAGGGGTGGCCGGCGCCTTCGGGAAGGAGGCGGATTGGAATCTGTGCCTCTAGTAAGCGCTCTAATCAGAGTTCCGTTGTGCAGATGGCCAAGCACCATGTTCCACAAAGGTCTGGGGACATCGTTATGATCCAGTCTGAGCACACAGGAGCTATAGATATCCTTTCAGCTGATTTGGAATCTGCAGATCTCCTGGGGGATCATAGGAAAGGTGAGACCTCTGGGGGTATGGAAGGTGATTTCTTTGTTCCCAATGGGTGCTTAAAGAATGGCAGGCAGGGGGCGCCTGGGTGGCTCAGTTGGTTGCGCGTCTGCCTTTGGCTCAGGTCATGATCCCAGGGTCCTGGGATGGAGCCCTGTGTCAGGCTCCCTGCTCAGTGGGCAGCCTGCTTCTCCCTCTGCCTCTGCCCTGCGCCCCCCGGCTTGTGTGCTCTCTCTTTCTCTCTCAAATAAATAAAATCTTAAAAAAAAAAAAAAAAAAAAAAGGCAGGCCAACTGATGGAAGGAAAGTGAGAAGGTAACTTGTGAAAGGCAATTAAAGAAGCCAGGAAGTCGAAGGAAGGTCTTTGACTGTGACACCCTCCCTAAACCAAATGCCAGGTGTCTTTGCATTTCCTCTTGGTTTCTCAGTAGTGAGCTGCCTGTCCTTTCAGTGTCCCCGCCTCTGATGGCTCCTCCGTGCATCTGGACCTTTGCCAAGATGAAGGAATTCAAAAGCAAGCTGGGCAAAGAGAAGAACAGCCGTCTGGTGGTGAAGCGGGGTGAGGTGGTGACCATCCGGGTACCTACCCATCCAGAGGGGAAGCGTGTTTGCTGGGAATTTGCGACTGACGACTATGACATTGGCTTTGGAGTTTATTTTGACTGGACCCCTGTAACCAGCACTGACATAACTGTGCAGGTCAGTGATTCCAGTGAGGATGAGGATGAAGACGAGGAAGAGGAGGAAGAGATTGAAGGTAAATTTAATTTTAACATAATTTGCAAATTGCTTTTTCTGGCTCAACCCAATTTCTAGTGACCACTTCCTGTGTTATACCAGTCCTTCTCTTCCTTAGAATGCAAGTGAGGGATCCCTTTCAGCATTGTAAGCTAAATTGAGTGAAGCAGGCCAAAGTTAGACCCTCAAAGAACATTCTGGTGGGGATGGTATTGGTGCCTTGGTGGAAAGCTTCTTTTGCTTTTTAATCAGTACCTAGCTATTTCCCCAGCATCTCCTTGGGGACAGGGATGGGACGGGCAGGGAAAGGGGTGGGTCAGTGCTGCAGTATATAGATCATGTATAAACCTGAGATTATTTTGTATTTCCCTCATAGTTTGGGATATTTACCATTTTTAGTCTGGAACCATACCGGATGATTACACTTTGTTAACTGTGCTCCCCTTCAAGCTGTCACAGTTGGCCGACTACTGTTTACTTCTTTCTTCATGCCCAGAGCTGTTTTCTTTTTCTTTTTTTTTTTAAAGATTTTATTTATTTACTTGACAGAGAGCGAGAGAGGGGAACACAAGCAGGGGGAGTGGGAGAGGGAGAAGCAGGCTTCCTGCTGAGCAGGGAGCCTCATGTGGGGCTCGATCCCAGGACCCCGGGATCATGACCTGAGCCGAAGGCAGACGCTTAACCCACTGAGCCACCCAGGCGCCCAGAGCTGTTTTCTTTTTAAAGCTCTTTTTTTTTAAGAGTTTATTTATTTATTAGAGAGAGAGCATGAGCTGGGGGAGGGGCAGAGGGAGAAGGAGAAGCAGGCTCCCTGTTGAACAGGGAGCCCCGACACAAGGTTTGATCCCAGGACCCAGAGATTATGACCTGAGCTGAAGGCAGACACTCAACTGACTGAGCCACTCAGGTACTCCCAGTTTTTTTTAATTAAAAAAAATTTTATTGAGATATAGTTGACATATAACATATTAGTTTGACATGTACAATATAATGATTTAATATTTGAATATATTGCAAAATATGCCCAGAGCACAGCACATGCCCAGAGTAGTTTTAAAAGTTGTTTCTGTGCTCCATTCCAGTTATTTGTAGTGCCTACTCAGGATGACCCCGAGGCTTTTTTTTGTTTTTGTTTTGTTTTGTAATATTAAGAGTAGGTCCTAATTAAGTTCCAAGCATCTTGATTTTTCTATATAATCTTAAAATCAGGCCCTTGCTTCTTTGTGGAAGAGCAAGTCTGCAGGGAAATCTTCAGGTATTTAGGCAGGAAGAGAACCTCATGTCTTAATTTGCTATTCTGCAGGTGGCCAAGTAGAAGTTCTAGGTCACTCTGTATAGCGTGTTTGTATTTCCTACCTCTGTTAGCTATTTCTTTTTCCTGCTGAATGAAAAGATGTCAGAATCTTCCCTTTTAAATATCTTTTCTTAGGGTGCCTGGGTGGCTTAATTGGTTAAGTGTCAGACTCTTGATTTCGGCTCAGGTGATGATCTCAGGGTCCATAGTCAGCGGGGAGTCTGCTTGGGATTTTTTCCCTCCCTCTCCCTCCCCCTCTGCTCCTCCCCACTGCTCACACTCTCTCCCTCTCTCTCTGAAATAAATAAATAAATAAAATCTTTAAAAAATAAAGTAGGGGTGCCTGGGTGGCTCAGTCTACTGGTTAAGTGTCTGCCCTGGGGTCCTGGGATTGAGCCCCACATCAGGCTTCCTGTTCAGCAGGGAGTCTGCTTCTGCCCCCCCCCCCTTCGTGTGCTCTCTCTCCTTCTGCTCTCTCTCTCTCTTTCAAATAAATAAATTTAAAAACAAATCTAAAATAAATAATAAAATAACGATCTTTTCTCCCCCTTGGAAATGTCCAGACACTTCTGGAACTAGGTTAAGTGTAACTAAGGCTAAGTCACTGTTTCTCAGTGGAGAATTTACCGGCCTTTGGGGTGGAATGCTTCTTTGCTGGGCAGGTACTATCCTGATGTTAAGTGCTCCTGGACACTTGGGCACCAAATGCCAATATCACCCACTAGTTGCTGTGATGGTCAAAAGGCCAGCAGACATTTCCAAGCTCCTGTAGGAGGGCAAGAGCATCTCCTTGGCTAAAAGCCCCTAGGTCACCTGGTCCATTCTTTTACCCTGAGGTCGGACTTATTCTTTCTCTGAAGTCCTATCCAAACAGCGTGCCATTTTGCTCACACAGACCCTGTCCCAGTTGGTGACGTAGAGAGAGGCTCCCGGAGCTCCCTGCGAGGTCGTTATGGGGAGGTCATGCCTGTGTACCGGCGGGACAGCCACCGAGACGTGCAGGCTGGCAGCCACGACTACCCCGGTGAGGGCATCTACCTGCTCAAGTTTGACAACTCCTACTCCCTGCTCCGCAACAAGACTCTCTACTTCCACATCTACTACACTAGCTGAAGGCCCGCGGGGACAGAAGGCGGGCGGGCGCTCGCTGGCTGGGGCAGGCTGCCGGCTGGCGTCTCTTGTTCTGGATAGACAAGAGCTAAAAGTTGAGCGTGAGGCTCGTGATGCTCACGTCCTGCCTGGCATGCCTGACTGTTGACCCCACGTAGCTTTTCCCCTTCCTTGGCTTCCGCAGGTGGTGGTGTAGTGCCCCTGTCTGTGGTCCCTGACTCACACTCCTCTCGCGTCAGACTCCAGCCAAAGTCCCTCTGAAGGAGCCCGTCAGGCAAAAGCCTAGAGGAAGGTTGGGTGTTAAATTGTAAAATTAGGTCTGTTTGGGTCCAAGGGATTATTGCAGTTGTTGCTCTCTCCTCTCGCCGAGCCTTTATTGCAGATGTGTTCAGCGGTACCCACTCTTCACCTTTTGAAAGTGCTGGAGGAGGAAAAGCGCGTTGTCCGTGAAGGAGCCCAGCCTCTTGGATGGAGAAAGCTCTGTCCAGCCTCTCACCACTGCCATCTTCCCGCCTGCTGGTTCTTCGTGGTCTGTAGTGCAGGCCGGGAGCCCTCACTGCCTTTGGAGGGGTGGCAGTAGTCCCGATTGTTCGACTCTGCCTCTTGCCCTCCTCTTGCCTTTCCCCACATCTGTGTCTGGGCCCTTACAGCAAGAACGTCCATGCTGTCTAAAGTGGTGATCACATAGTCTACCGTCTGGGGGGATAAGCGCCTCCATCACTTCCTGCTTCAGGAGGTCGCAGCCCGTAGCCAGGGTGCTGGTGGGTGCAGTGGAAAGGGTGGGAAGTAGGTACTGGATTGATCTCAGCATATCTTTGACAGTCAAGTGTTACTGCAGTACTTCTTTTGTATAATCAAAGAAGAAGGGGTATAATCTGAGCGAGAAGCTTAAAAAAATACAACACTCCCGATTCCCCACCACTCTTTTCTATCTTTAGGGTAGGAGTGTTATGTAGAAATTTGGCTTCAGAACCAATCAGATTTCCAGAGTTTCTGGATTTAGATTTCTTGCATTGAGAGCTTAAAGCTTTTGGAGTTCAAAGTTTCTTAGAAAAGGAAATGAAGCTTCACTGTGGCTGCTGATTGGAGCTGTTCTTCAGCAGGCCAAAGCCAGCATTTCCCCCTGACTGCCTTTCCCACTGTATTAGCCCCGAGGCCCGGAGTGCCAGGGATGGGGGGCTATAATCGGTGATCGCCAGAGTAGCAGGCCAGGGCCTCGGGCAGAGCAGGGACCACTGTGGTTGTCTGTGCCTCCTTGTTTCTTATTCCCTGTGTTGAGTCTGTTACTGCCTTAGAATTTTGAGGAATATTCGATTTATTTATTACTTTATTTATTTTTGTAGCACATTTCATTTTGCCCTTGAAACAGCTTCCATCTGTTTCTTAGAAGGCTTCTGTCTGCTCTGAGCCATTAAGACCACCTCTCCTGTGGAGTCAGATGACGACGATTTTAGGAAAAGTTGGGAAGTGACAATGTTCCCTTCATGGGTCAGTCCTGGGATGCTTTGGGGAGGAATCTGCCCTTCTGAGACGGATGATGCCATCTTACCCCAGCACTCTTTGTGGCGAATTCTAGGCTGTGAGGGACCCGGCCCAGTCGCCCAGGATGGAGTACGGAGGAACTGACTTCCCGATCAGGGATATGATATGATCCTGGGATTTCAGAGTCCTACTCTGAGGAGTCATCTTCTTCATGACGGTTCCTTTGGCTCATTCCTTCCTTGTCCAGGTGTCTCACGCCAAGCTTCTCCCCGCTACAGGGGCAGGAACTCGAAGACCAGGGCCCCTCACGGTAGTTCTTTACCATCGCTGTCCCAGAGCAAAGGGCCAGACAGCCTGCATTTTCTGTTCCCCTGGGAGCAGAGCCCCAAGTAGGATAGGATGCTGTGGACTGAGCCGCATCTTACCTCCATTATTCTATATTTCAGTGCATTTTGTAGAGGATTACACTGGCCAAAATGCATCTACCTTGTAAGAAATTAGAAATTATTCTAGTGACTGTCTGTCTGGACTGCGACAAGCAAACTCACTGTGCATGATGTCATCATCAGATAAGCTGAGTGAGCACTCTTTCGGCACCGAAGTTGAATCACGCCTTAGCTAAGTGAGGATAATCCTTATAAGATAATTTTCTACTGAGCTGTTCTCTAGTCAGCTCAAGCCTTGTTTATTGTTCCTGTTTATTATTAACTTCTGACTTTCTCTTAAAAGGGAGCTGTCAGGCCCTAGCAAGCTCCCTGGGACAACACTCTTTGTTTATTTTTGCCATGAGATGCTCTGTACTTATTTTCTTTGGCATCCTGATTCTGGTGCATTGGGGAAGTCGAAGGGGCCTATTCCTGTCACCTCTGTGTGCCTCTTACTGTCTGGGCACTTTTGAAGTCCTGGACGTGGTTACATTTCATCCTGCACTGGCGTGTCTTTGTCCCATTAGCACAAAATGGCTAAAAGAAGATACTGTCAATATCTGATTCATTCCCTCTTCTCCTGTTAAATTTCTGAAATCATCACACTTGAGGGACCAGATATTACTTGTGGAAGCACACGTAATTAGTGAGAAGTTCACAGCCCAGCAAATCCTCAGAGGTAGTCCCTTCCTTAATCTCTCCCTATCCAAGTGTATAGAACCAAACAATGAAATCAAAATCATCTGTCTCACCCTGTTCTCCAGAGCACAAATAAATACTAACCAACAGTCGGAAGAGAGTGCTTTGTAGTGGGAGAGAGATTGAAATTCTCTACACAGAGCGGTTGGCTTCTTAAAGTTCTTCAGTTTGTTTAGCTTCGCCACTGTGTTGGGGCTTTTAGAAAGGACGACTATTTAAAGTGTTAATTTTTTCTAACATTTTATCATGAAAAATGTCCAGCAAACAGAGAACCTAAAAGAAGTAGATAGTAAACACCCTTAGGTATACCCACCACATAGGTTTTAAAATTATAAATTGCTAATTAAAACAAAGATGATTCTCCCATTCTGTTCCTTTTGACAAGTGTCCAATTAAAATGTGTTCCCTGCACAGACATCAGCTCTCCTGTGTCACAGGGCCCCTGGTTTTTTAGCAGATTTGTGTCCTTCAGCATGAGTTACTTGGGAGGTGGTCCTCCCTCATTTAAAAAAAAAAAAAAATGTTTCTAGATCTCTAGCTTTCAAAAACTCATGCTGTATTTCCCCTTTCCTCAGGCCAGAGCTGCACTCTTCTCATCTCTGACTGGCACGGTGGAGGGTGGGGAACCATGAGGCTGCACTGGAAGGACTTCAGTCTGTTGCTTTACAACAGGGCCTCAGGCCTCTGGAGTTAAAACTCGATCCTCAGACAATGAATAGTTTGATAATGGAAGTAGGTAACAACTTGAAATAAGGCCATTCTTCTTCTTCTTCTTCTTTTTTAATAATTCATGCACTTTAAAAAGATTTTTATTATTTAAGAAAGGAAATCTCAGACTTTTTAAAAGTACATATTGCCCCTTATATGTATATGAAAGTGTTAAATCTGAGAGTTCTCTGTCTTATATTAACCAGTGGGATTAGATATTATTGTAAAACCAGTTATAGAAAATATCTGAGTTTAGATTTTTTTTTTTTTAAAGATTTTATTTATTTGACAGAGAGACAGCGAGAGAGGGAACACAAGCAGGGGGAGTGGGAGTGGGAGGAGCAGGGAGCCCGATGCGGGGCCCCGATCCCAGGACCCTGGGATCATGACCTGAGCCGAAGGCAGACACTCAACGACTGAGCCACCCAGGCGCCCCTGAGTTTAGATGTTTTTGATGAGCCCTACCCAGTTCCTCTTTGAAAGAATTGGGTGAAACCCAAATCCTAAAGTCTGTGTCTTTATATTTATTTTTTAAGACCATTTTTCTGTAAAAAGCTGCCTTTTAACCCCAAAGTATGTCATTCTAAGGTATGGAGTTGAGTGACCCTACCATTTACATAAAGGACTATTGTTTTAGTGGAGGGTGAGAGACTGCCTTTTAAAATTGATAGTAAGGAAAAAAAAAAACAGAATAAAATGAGGGGAAGAGAGATAAGCTGTCAAATGTGTCCCAGAATTTTGCTCATATCCCAATTTTGTTTAGTTCTTTGGTCTGTATTTCATTAGTTGGAATTCTTCTTTAAGCCAGAAGCCTTGCTGGTTCTCATTGTGCTTCTTGGAGAAACCCAACCCCCTTTGCTGTCTCTTCCAAAAGGAGCGACTTCAGCAATCTTTTTGAGTAGGTCTCCTCTACTAAGTGTAATCCCCTGACCCGAGGCTGCATTTCACCTCTGTATTCTGGGGCTTAGAGTCTAGTGCCGTGCAAAAGGGTGGTCAGGCTAGCACGAGGCTGGGAGGGGGTGCAGCTGTGGCCCTGCAGCCCCAGTTGGTTTTGACTGGGGCCAAGAAAGGGATGAAATCAGTTAATTTTTACCAAAATCACAGAAGGACCTCAAGCCGCAAGCTGTGCCCCTCTAGGCTGACCTCCCTGTGAGGTGTAGGACTCACCATCTTCTGTCATCTTTGTGGGATGGTCATACACACAGCAGTAAATGGAATAGTTTGTTCTCCCTTTTAAGAGTTTCCATTTAGAATTTCTCCTGAGCCTAAAGGGTCCACATCAACCTCTTTTAGTCTCTTTCCACCTGGCTAAAAGTGTAGAATTCCTGGAAACCTGAATTTGCTGGAAAAGGGAAGAGCACCATCCCTATAGAATCTCAGTGGTTGAAAAGAGTTGGAAGGTGAGTTTCTGTCTGAAGGAAGGTCATTTCTTTTATTGTGAGTGGTAGCACTTTCGGGGATTTATGCTCTTTAGAGAGCAAGTCGTTGTATTCATTGTGTGTTGGATTGTGCTTAGGGAGCCATGATGCATGATTCTTTGGGAAGTAAGTAGGGAATGGGTGTCTAAAACCAGTCACAAGCCGGGTGCAACCCTGTCTGTGGTGAGTATCTTTATGGCCAAAGTCCCAGTCTTCGTGCACACGGAATCCTGTCCCTGGGCCCTCATTCCCATACAACTGAGAGATAAAGAGGGACTAGGCTCCCTCCCATTTCTCTCTGATGTCTTGATTATTTACCATATTGTTTAGCACTGGCAGCATGGTATCTAAGGCCTCTTTGCCTGATTAATCAGAATTAAATAACAGTGTTTATTGAGAGGATAAGGCAATCAGCTTCGGTTGGAAGTAGGACTGGGGAGGGATTGTGACCTATAGTCCCATATTGGGATAGCTGGGTGACTTGTGTAGGACTGTCCAGTCATCAGTTGGAACTCTTGTGAACCTTACCAAGTGAATTAAGAGGATATGTCAGTGAGATACTGATGAAGACAGCAAATTATTATGAGTTGAGTAGTAAATAGAGCAAGCCCTCCATCTATGGGAACGATAGTCTCTCACAGGCTATAAAGGCAATTATAATGTGAGTTTGCAGCTCCTCAGTGTTCTCAGAAGTAGAAGAACCACCTGGAAGTTGGTTCTTGGTGGCCGCTTTCTGGGAAAAGGGGAGGCACCGCCCCCAAAATGCTTTGGCTCAGTGGGTACCTGGTCATGGTCAGTGTCACCCCTTTGCTCTGTCTAACCCATCCAGCACCTGTGAGCCCTCCTTTGACATCTACCCAATTACTAGATTCTGAGGGTAGGATCTGGGACTCACACCAAAGGGTGTAAGAAACTTTGCTAAGTATCGTGTGGCCAGATTTCAGAAATCACTGCTCCCTCTGAAGTGTTGCATTACCCCTGCCTGAAGCAGAAGGCCACACAAAGCCCCTGCTGTTTGAATCTCCTGTCATTAAGCTGAGAAAACCCAGATGCCCAAAGCCTTGTGATGGGGTTCATTTACAAATAGTCATTCCCTCAAAAACTAAGTCCAAAAGTAAGTAAGATGCTGGCTTTGAAATTATTTGTGGTCCTGGTCACTGGTTTGAACCCATGATCTGATTACCATTATATGAACTTTATTTTCTTTTAGGCCCCAGGCATGTGGACCAGAGTTAATTTCATGGCTCTTCTTTACTCTGAGACTTGAGGAGAAGGTGTCCCAGAAATCTAGATATACAGGCTTTATTAAATTCCATAGTTTTCTGTCCTTTTAAGTACTTATCTAAGGGTCAAATAATATATGTGAAATGACTTTCAGGGGACAAAGTGCGTTTTCTAAAAGTTCTGATATAGGGTCATGAACAAGTCTAGAGTTTAGGTTTGGAATATTCTAGCATATAGGGTTCCAGAAGAGCCCTTAGCTAACAGTCAGCTTTAGGAGTTCTCTTCCTGAACTCACTTCTTCACTCAGGTTTGATATCTCTCCGTCTAAAATGTTCCTTGTTGTTGTTGTTGATTTTTAGGTTCAGGCCAAGTATCGTGTGGAAAACATTATCTTAATTCCTTCTCTCATGTCCTAATTAGTACATTTTACTAAGAAATTCCATAAAAAACTCTACTGACATCCATATCTGAGATTATTGTCCCATAGGTGAAGTTGTTTTTATTTAATCAAGTTGAATTATTTCCATTTAGCCATGTGCAAGAGCAAGTAAAGTCTAGAGAAAGCAATCCTGTAACCCATCACTCTGGCATACCCATTTTCCCTTAGTGATGGGAAGCGTTTTGAGATTCTCAGAAGAAAGTTGCTTTGTAATGAAAGTGATGGATTATGAGAAAGCCAGACTTTGGGTAAGGATACTTGGAATAGAGGGAGGTGCTTGCAGATTTCCTAAACTACTTCATGCCATTTAGCTTGTATTTCTGAAAGGCCTGCTTTGCTGCCATGCACTGAGATCTGTCAGTTGATTGAAAGATGATTATGCTTTCTTGGCAAATATCTAAGCAATTGGCAACCACAAAGGCATTCTTTCCTTATTGTTCTCTATCATGCATTGGCACTGATGTTACAGAAAGGGATTTGGAAGGGAAACCGTCTCACCGTCTTTTCTTTAAAGTACAGAAATAGCCCAACAAGTCATTTATTGCAGTCGTCTTGTGTTACGTGTCCCCTGAGAAATGCTGTCAACATTTCCTATGATTTCTAAGAGCTCTGTACCAAATTGTCATTCAATCATTTTGTCCTGCTGAGTGGTTTTTCCTTTAAAATACCTTCTCCTACCGCCCTGTGGTGTGTGTGATTGTGTTGCTCTGATACCCGGATGATTCCTGAGCTATGGCTCTTGAAATAGCTCAGTTCTTGTGTTTTTCTCTTATGTAAGTTTTGTGATGCTTTTGTGCATTTCTTTGTCTTCTCTTCCAGGTTTTGAAATCTGTCCTAAATAAACTTTTTCACTATGCACCTGAAATGTGAGTTCTATCTTAATGAATCTGATTTACATTTTATATTTTTTATTCATCTCTGCATTCCTCCTAGAGGAAAGGTATGCTGTCAATCTATATGAATTATTCTGTAATCTATTGATTATAAAAATGGAAGAAAAATTAACAATTAAGAAAAAAATTGAGACAGATTAATGACAGATCTTTCAACTGTGTTTAAATTCATGGCAGAGTATTACGAACTGGGAACTGGGTTTGGCCCAAGGGCAGAAAAAGTGGGTTTAGAGTGATGATCACTAAATAGAACATTATAGAGTTTAATCAGTATCTAGTTTCCAGTGATGTTCATTTTCCAATGAACTTCCTGTGTTCAAATTTGGAACTGGTACAGTGGACACCAGGGTAATCATGTACACAGTCTGGGTGATATTAATTCAGTCTATTTCCATTTCAAAAATGACACCCTAAGATGTCTTAGACATATCTTAAAATGATGCCTGTGCACATCGCTGGCATTTATTACAAAATGAGAAAGACTCCTAATCTGAGCAGGAAGGGTACCATTAAAATCTTTTCTTCAGATATCTTTGGTTCTACAACAAGCCTGTTGGATCTTTCTCTGCCTTCCTTTGCAACGTAGTTTAGAGGCTGTTGTACAAAGGAGGAAGGGGTTGGAAGTAATTGTGAGTTAAATAAATATAATCTGCCCACCAAACTACAGCACAACCAGTAAAGAGCCCAGGCAGACTACATGGAGCTAGGGGTCTTTAATGAGTTATGTTTGGGTATGCTGAATGTAGTATGTCACCGCTAACACTTAACATATTGAAAGTCACTTTATTTATTTATTTTTAAAGAATTTAAGTACCCTCAAGGCACCTGGGTGGCTCAGTCGTTAAGCGTCTGCCTTCAGCTCGGGTCATGATCCCAGGGTGCTGGGATCGAGTCCTGCGTCGGGCTCCCTGCTCCGCGGGAAGCCTGCTTCTCCCTCTCCCTCTTCCCCGCTTGTGTTCCCTCTCTCGCTATATCTCTCTGTCAAATAAATAAATAAAATCTTAAAAAAAAAAAAAAAAGAATTTCTCTGCATCCAATGTGGGGCTTGAACTGACAACCCCAAGATCAAGAGTTGCACGCTCCACTGACTGAGCCAGCCAGGTGCCCCATATTGAAGGTTATTTTTTAACTTTTAAAGGTACTACTCTCAGGGCGCCTGGGTGGCTCAGTTGGTTAAGTGTCCGACTCTTGATTTTGGCTCAGGTCATGATCTCAGGGTCGTGAGCGTGAGTCCTGCTTCAGGCTCCATGCTGGGCCCAGAGGCTGTTTGAGATTCTCTGCCTCTCCCTTTCCCTCTGCCCCTCCCCCTGTTCTCTCTCTCTCTCAATTAAATAAAATCTTAAAAAAAAATAATAATAAATAAAGAAGGGCACTCATGTCATTTCATTGACCCTGACATAGCTCGGGATTACATTCAGTCTGATGTGCTTTAACCTACGAGGTTCTGGCTAAACTCAACAGCCATGTTAGTTCACATATTCTCCCAAAGTGGAATGATGCCTGCTGGTGACTTTGGAATCAAGAACTAAATAAGTTATGTTTAAAAGTTAGGAGGAGCCGATACAATGAGTCGTTAATGAGTATGTGTATCCACTGGCATGTTCAGTAAGCTTACTACTTTCCTTAATGGATATGTAATTTTTTAAGATTTTATTTATTCATTTGAGACACACAGATAGAGCATGAGAAGGGGAAGGGGCAGAGGGAGAGGGAGAAGCAGGCTCCCTGCTGAGCAGGGAGCCTGACGTGGGGCTCGATCCCAGGACCCCGAGATCACGACCTGAGCGGAAAGCAGACGCTCAACCATCTGAGCCACCCAGGCGCCCCTAATGGATATGTATTTTGCTTTGGAACAAAATCCTGTATGTTTTGCTTTGTCCTCAAGTATTTCCTGGCAGCTTCTCTTTGCTGTTTTCATCCTTCTAAAGTATTTGCCAGGACTTCCTACCTCTATACCGGTGAAAGACCCTTTGCACCTAATTAGCAGTATCAGGCCACTGCAGCATCTGCCTGTCACCCCTGTGGCCACTCCCCCCGTGGCTGCAGATCAGGTCTCCCTGTGGCCTCCGACATCCAGTCAGGGATCTGACAACAGGTGGGAATGAAGGACTTGACTCTTACCGCCCACTCAGCCTGTAGAGAGAAGCCCCTACTGGAAAATGTCCCCGAAATAGGTGATGGTTTTGAACTGAGAGATACCTCTGACCCCTGAAAACAGGAACTTAGTTGCAGACGTAAGGAAGTCACAGAAGAGGTAGTTTTCAAAGCCCTTTAGAGAAGCCTAATTATTGCTAAGCCTCGGAGCCATTCGGTCTGACCAGTTTCAGCACTTAGGGAAATATTTGCTCCTTCGTGATCTTCTAGGGCCCCCAAAGAGGAGAGACATTCCAGGAGGGGGGGGGGCCACCAGCCATGGCTGTACAGGGATGGGTTTCTATCTAACAAGCGCTTAAGGAGCAAGGCTAGTCCCCTTGAATGGCACGGGGGGAGCGGGGGGTCGGGAGTGCAGCCCTAGAGGTGCTCGAGGGAACTCTGCTCTCATGCAGGGAAGATGGTTTCGAAATGCGTTCTCTTACTCCCTAGAGCGCAGCTGAGTTCCTCTAGGAATAAAGGGGGTTCTCCTGTCTCCCATGTATCCAGCCACAGGTCCCTAGAGGAGGGTTCCCAATGCGGACGGCTGAAGCTAGCAAAGTCTTGGGTCTCCACACCCCTCAAGAGCAGGTCAGCTAAGCATGCTGGTGACCCGGACTCCACGGAGGGCCCAGGGCTGACAGAGCGACAGCCTCACTCTGACTCAAAACTGCAAGCCCCGAAATCAGACCACTCTCCTTTCTCATAAACTCTGGTCCTCTGTGCATCCAACGCCCCTCTCCACACACTCCTTTTCCACCCCTCAGTTTACCCTGAGCTGGTGGCTCCCCGGGCCTGCCTTGCAGCCCCCCAGTTCCATCACTTCCTCACAGGCCTGGTCCGCCGAAGGCTGCGGGAGACACCCAGAGTCGTCGTAGGCCCTGGAGAGCCCAGGCACTCTTCCTCAGGTCTGGGTGAAGAGGGTGGCAAGGGTGGTCCCCAGCCCTGGTCCTGAGACCAGCTTGTGGTGCTGCCACCTGTGTGGAGAGCTCCCGAGAAGTTTAAGTTCTAGCTTTAAAATACAAAAATCTCCTTTACAAAAACATCATGAGGTAAGATGGATGGACCACTGTCCTCCTAAAGCCAGTGCAGCCGAGAGCCACAAAGGTTTAGTCACTTCCTGAGTGGTGCAGATAATCGATGTGGGATCCTTGCAGGAACCCAGCACGTTCCAGGTGAGTCACCTCAGAGGAGCCCGGGATGAGTTTCTCTGGCTTGGACACATTTCTGTTTTTGTGGGGTAAGGTCAGGTTTGTCCGAGTTTGGGGGTGGGGTGGAGTCTGGGGGAAGTCAGCTAGAAAGGAGAGCCTCAGAAATGGGACTCCAAGGATCTCTGCTGAGCCCCGAGGAAACCCCCCAACATGTGTTCTCTCTCCTCCCATCCACCCACAGCTGATTTTCAATTTACATCTGACATATACCAGAAAAGTCCTGTTGAACTAGAGGACTGGAACTATGGAGAAAAATATGTGAAGTTAGTTTTGTGCAACAGATGAGGGATGGTTTCTAGAATGTTTTGACAACAGGCTGTATCACCTCTTTACCTAATTTAGATTTCCTTACAATCCATTAGGCTTTTGCCACCAGTTTTAGGATGGCTGATAAGAGTCCCAGGTTAAATGAGTTAATACTCTGACAGTATCCAGGAGAAGACCTGAGCCGAAATACGGCAACTCTTAGAAGTCATTTTGGATCAGACAGACAAGCAGGTAGGTAACAGACTAACCACGCTGAGTGGGAGAGTTCCAAGTGGCCAAGGAAACTTCCCAGGGTAAGTGAGGGACAGGAGTTCAAGAAGAGCAAGGGCCATGTCTGCCACACTCCCAGTCACAAGGCCACACGTTCCAGCTCCCAGGTGGGGAAGTCACCGGGGAAGGCTCAATGCAAGCTGGTGTCTTTAAAATCTACAGGGACTTTAATCACCTTCAACTCCAAATGTCCAAATCAGGTGCGAGTCCTGATCCCTGGGCTGAGGAGATCAGTCTCTTGAGTCAAGGTTTCCTGGAGAGAGCCCAGGGGCAAGTTTTACCCAGCCGGGCAAGCCTGGAGTAAGCGGACGGAAAGATGGAGGCAGGGCAGGAGGAACCACCGAGTCTCCCTCAACACTGCTGTGTCTCACGGAATGCCCTGTGCTTTTTTCTGGCTCTGCCAGGACCAGTGTGTCTCAGGAACAAGAGTGGCCCATTTTGGTCATTCTAAAGCCTGGAACCCAAGTTCAAGAAGGAAAGGCCACAAAGGAGCCCGGAAGGATGGGAGAACTAGGTGCCCTGGGGTCGGGGCTGAAGAAAAGGGACTCATGTCCGCTGAGAGTGGTGGCTTCCATGTGAACCAGACACATCTACCTGAACTCACTGTTGAAGCCTTAGCCATGCAGGGGAAATGAAATCTCAGGTACAGGACATAAAAGTCATCTTGTTCCACCCCCAGAAGGGATCTCAAGGCAAGCTGCTAGCTGTGTGGGGTCCGGAACCAGCCTGGGCAGTGGCGGGTCATGCTGCCCATGGAGGAGCCTGCCTCCAGTTCCCAGGGCCCTTCATGACTGGATTTATTCCAAGTGCCTACTCCTAGGACTGTTCTGGCTTGAGAGGGCCAGCTTCCCCCTCCGTGCTCCAGTGGGCCACTTCCTGGTACCCTTCTAGCCCTGGAAACTCAGCTGGTCACAAAATGCCTTCTTTCCTGCCGTTTCTATCTATTCTCTTCTGGATCTGGTCTGCTTCTCTCTGGCAGGCTTTCAGACGTTTTTCTCTCCTGGCCCAGATGCAGGGGGATTCCAGCTAGGAAGAGTGTTCATCTTCTGGAACGCGGCTCAGCCTTAACTGAACAACCTCGAGGCCTGGGCTTCAGTTTAATGATCAAATTTCAGTGTGGGCCTTCTCTGGAGTCAGGTACAGCTGTGGGCATGGGAAGAGCGCGCAGGCTCCCTTACGTCTCCTTGCCGAAACCACCAAGTGTTTTAGGCTACATTCTCACCTCATCTTCACGACTGCCCCACGACATAGATGACCGGTGATGTTCCTGCCTCCCTCCCTCCCAGCATCCTCTCCCCCACACTACCCGCACTGGACAGATGAGGGGACTGAGGCACAAGGATTTTCAGTGGGAGGGCGGATCCAGGGCTTGAGTCCAAGTTCAAGAAGTTCAGGTCTCCTGCTTCTCCAGTAGGGCTTGCTTGTTGCCAGGCCTGTTCAGCACCCCCTCCCCCCAGCTTCTGCTCCTGCACCCTCTCCCTGCCCCCTCACCCATGGGGCACAGCTGGGGAGCTAGGCCCGCAGCTCAGGCGGTGTGTCTGGCTGCCGGCAGGGGTGAGACACTTGGAAAGCCTCCAAGGCCAGCAGCGTCTTGTTGATGCGGCTGATGGTAGGGTAGGGAGTGAGATCCACCTTGAACCTGTGGCAGAGAAACACCTGTCTAACACCATCTCAACACCAGGTCTGCTGGGGCACAGGGAGACTGCCCTGGGGGCGGCGAGGGCCACACAGAGGCGGGCTGGATGAGGCCCCGGGGGCTGGCCAGGGAAGGGCCAGGAAGTTGTCCAGCCACGTGGGGGCCCGATTCACAGGCAGCCTTGGGGATGGGCAGGTCTCATGCAAGACGGCCTAGCATCTCTGTTGCTACTGCTCGTATTCCAAGTGATGGCAATTCATCAAGAACCTACTCCGCGTAAGACACAGCGCTTGCCATTTACATACACAGATAATCTCTCCACCCATGTCATAAGCTTCTCAGGGGCAGCAAATGTGTCATAACATCTCCGTGTCCCAATGGTGCCTGGTGTGATGCCTTCCAGAGAGGTACTCTCTCATGCCTCACCGAAGGGCTGATGGAGGACCGCAGAGGAGAGCTCCCTGCCAGGCACGGGCACAGCCCATCGGGGGGAGCAGGCTCTTGGGGTGGTTTCTTCTAGGGGTGTCCACTGGGCAAGCCACCGCCTCTTAGGGGCAGATGCTAGACAGTGTCAGACGGACTGTGATGGGCACGGTAGGGGGCGTTCCACTGAGGTCCCCCACTGGCTCTTCCAGGCCACAGGAGCTGGGGAGGCCTGGCCCAGGGGGGCTCCTTGGCCAGTCTGGGAGAGCCTCTGCGTGAGGGGCTTCCCCAGTAGCTGAAGTTAGGGCCTGACTGTGGGAGGAGGCTGGGCCTTCTGAGGGGAGGAACCAGGCAGAGGAGGGAGGGTGGTGGGGCTGTCTTACCTTTCAGCATTTGCCACCTGAGGCACTAAGCAGAGGTCGGCCACGGACACCTGAGACAGGGTTGGGGGGTCTGCCTCAGGATGCGCGCCCCGGACTCACAGGCTGGCCTCACTGTGTCCACTGGGGCGCCAACCCCTGGCATTCCTGTCTACTTCTAGCTCCCCCCCCCC